AATTTAATAAATGCTACATCTTTAGGGTCCGCTTTCCTGACCGACTCCTCCATCTTCTTCCACAGCTCCTTAGCGCTGAGCTTTATAAGTCCGCTCTTACTCCCCAGCGGACCGCTATCAAGACGTCCCAGTAACTCATCGACGTGCCGCTCACGCAAATACGCGACCGGCACGTATGAGATTGTTTTATCGCGGTCCTCGGCCAAAACATTAAAATTATAAATATAAGGATGCGGCATGTTGCGATTTTTTGTACACGATTGTACGTACTCAAATATTTTATGCACGATTACTCGGAACTGCAACGGATCCGCTGGGTCGGGTAATGCGACATGAAGCAGCGCAAGGTAGGAGTCGATCAGTTTCTTAGGCCAAAAGCGAGTGGCCCTATACAGCTGAATAACGTCTATGTTAGCTGTATGTAAACGTGTAACGTTACTGTCTGTAAGCAACTCATCCTTATTCGATATGTTTCCACACTTATAATCACAATCATGTACTAGAGGATCAAGAAATGCCTTTGCTGTGATTAGAGCATTGCGATAAACTGGATAAATACTTCTGATCATATTGCTTTCCGCTACTGCCGTACAGACGGACCAGCACGTATTATCTGTGTTCACCCCAGGCTTGGGTACCACGTGGTAGTGGTCATTAGGAAATATTGTTGCGCCAGCTGGCTTGCCCGAGATTTGTACTCCCGGCGTAACATCTATCGATATACGTAGATGTCTAAAATGCCGCCGCCAACAAATATCATATTGAATTTAGTGCAAACTTTGTTCCATTGCAAAATATTTGATCTTGGGGTTTGAATGAATGATGTCCTTTTTTCATGACTTCCGATACAGCCCGGCACAATACGTTAACAAATTTTTTCTTTAGATTTACCGTAATATGCTGGCCTGATATTTTCTCGCGAATTGTTACAAAGCCAGCTTCATCAGATTTTGTGTTTTCAATAATTACATTTTCTCGATATGGTCTATTGATTTCGAATAAGAAGTCGTATTCGTCCGGCAGACCAGCTTTTGTGCGGTTGGCCGTGCTGCCTATCAGAACGGGAGTGCAGAAGAAGCCTCCCTTTAAGGCTCTCATTTCCTTGCAGACTCGCTTCATCAGGTCTAGCACGGCGTCCCGCATTTGATCGCATTCCCCCTGATGCTCTAATCCAAGCTTGGCGTCTCCCATATAGCAGACAGTGATGTCACACTACTGACATTATAGCGTGATTTATCACGTTCTATTCTACAATAACAATCGTTGGGCAGCTCATTGTAGTCAGTAGACAGTGGTGCATGTCGCACGGTGGAGCGTGTTGCGTAGCTCCCGCAGTCGCAGGTTCGCGGCCTCACGCATCCGCCGAGGAAGGCCGGTGCGTGACAGCCGCGGGAGCTGAAAGCAGGGCTCGCTGCCCGACATCAAGCTCAGACGCGGGGCGCCTGGTCCGGAGATGAGTAGTCCCCAGGCAGAGTGAATGTCCTGGGAGGATGAGGCGAGTCTCGGCACCACAGGCACTTGGGACAGAGTCAGTAAAAACTGAAAATAATATGAACACATATTCACAAATAGGCCCTACTACCGTACCCCTCTGTTACAGTTCCACTGTTGCGACACTGTATATCAACTTTCCTTCATAAAAACCTATGTAAAAACTAACGCCGAACGCTCCCTTATATAGGTATACGCACGATAGGCATATCCTCCCAAGCCAATTTTTAAAACAATGATTTCCGCTGAATGCAAAGAAGCAGCAGTTAGTAAAACTGCATGTACCTGGAATTATCTTCACGGACTATTTCATAGAGTGCCTTTTTAATTTCGTTTATTGTGTGATGATTATTCATAAGCTCGTGTTCCAATTCCTCTAATTTCAGCTCCATCGATGAGAAATCGCCCTGAAATCAGAAAAACTATGAAATTAATTAAGTGGCCAGCAAATCATGGGTAGAAATGACATTTTGATCAACTGATTCCTAGAGACTGCCCTCCAAATGAGTCTGAATCAAAAACAAGGGAGTAAGCAGGGCAGGGCATAACTATATATTACCTACACCTAAGTCGAAATATTTGCAGAAATGACACGAATGAATGTGTCATCTGTTTTGCAGTGTGCCATGTTGAATATGAAATTAAAAACTGAAAGGAGTATTGTTCCATTTTAAAATCGACATCAAAGCATTGACCTAACGTAACCTAGCTATGTGACACACGTCACATAGTGGATCATCACTAACTCCTGATGTTCGGAGACCAATGTAGATGAGGCTACATTGGTCTCCAAAAATACCTACATCAGATAGGAGTTAGTGATGATCCACTATGTGACGTGTGTCGTGTCGCTGAGACTGTACCTCACTACATACTAGAATGTGCTAAGTTTGAGGAGGAACGTGGACTCCTTCAGCATAAGATTTTCAAAGAGTGTGGGGTAGGAACTCTAAGTGAGGATATTTTATTGTGTGTGGACCCTGAGGATATAGTCTACAGGAGCATAGAACTGAGATCACTAGGCTCCTGGGTGAGTTCGTTACCCGGACCGCCCTCATTTACCCCAGCGTCACCTACCAGTTTTTAAATATACATGTGCCATTACTACGAGACATTGCCATACAAGTGCTACATACAAGAGGCCAATACAGCTCTAAGAAGCTTCGATCAAGAAGCTTCGACCTAAGAGTCTAAGACCCTGGAACTGACGAAAGCGACACGAAATAACAGTGATTTAACAGCCATTATACAGTACAAATGCTAGAAAAATCTACTAGCCTGTCGGGCTAGCATTGATGCGACATTTGGTAGCCCGAACACAACTTTCACCAGCACCGGGCTATCGGGCTAGCGTTAGTGTCGAACACTGTACATGGTTATTATAGTATTGTATACTCAACACATGCAATGTTTTACCACACCCTTACCGGATCCGAATATAAACTGTGTGAGCCCGTTAATCGCTGAGACTCCAGGCACAGGTAGAGAAAGATGCAGATGGTCCCAAACAAGGCAGCACTAAACAGTACTGTCACTTTTCGCATGGACAACCTCATCGTGCTCCAATTTTATTCGTATATCCACTTATACGAGACGTACTACCCTGTCCGACGACAAACTATTATTTTAATAATATGATTTGTCCGAAGTTTCATGCCACCGTGGCACTGATTGAATGCCGTACCAGGTATGGTGTGGCACTATCAAGCTGTCTTGCTTAATTATGTCAACGGAGTACACGGTACAGTACACATCAAAAGCATGCCCTACATAGTACACTACAGTCGTAACCCACTTACGAACACTCATAAGCTATAGCACGACCGAGGAGCTATATATTGCTCCTTACTACACACGACATGAAACTTTACGTGTCATGACATCAACATTATAGTTTTTTCTGTATATACACCGCCCGGAACAACAAGCGATTCAACCTACGTATCACACGTAGAGAAACATACATGTACACAACTATGACACAACCAAACCGTGATTCATCCCATGATTCGCCACCGATGTAGTTCACTTTTCAATGATTGATTGATTTTACCTCCAAATTATCGTAAACTCGTTAGTCTGTGATTGGATCAAAAACTGTAGATAATTATACATATTTAAAAAATTTAAAAAAATGGTAATTACTTACAGCCAGAGCATGATGAATTATTTTTGATATAAATGCTCAGATGCGGTGTTGATTAGGCGTGCAACACTAGCGAACCTGGTGGTAGAGTAAACAGAACCGTGCGTGCAACTAACTGTGTGAACCATAGATATATATATAATAT